TTAAGGGCTCTGCAGTTACTGATGTTCCTGACCAATTAAATCCAGAACAAGTTCAGTACTGTCTCTGCATGTAAATCACTTATGTACATTTCCATTCACCACTAAGAGAAACGATTTCCATGATATTTTCATAATATAACTGGACAGTTCCTAATAAAATTAACTGATACTGTCCTCTATAAATGGAAAGGAACTGATCTGATTCATCATTTAGTTAAAAAAAAAAAAAAAAAACTGGCAACTGATTGAAGAACTCTCTCTCTCTTATTTTTTTACATGTAATGTCAAAAAAATCTTGGTTACAAGAATTTGCTACGTTTTCAGTTTGGCACCAGATTTTTTTTTAGACATTTTTTTACACTAAAGTAATATACGTGTACTGTACTTAGTCGCAGCTCTAAATACAGCCTTTAAAAATTGTGTGAAATTACCATACCATTGTGTTAGATGGCCTGACAATGACTTTGTATGAGTCTTCAAAAATCTGAATGTTCAGTTCCCTTTTTAAACACGAGCAGTCTGAGACTGCATATTTCTACCAAGGCTTAACATCTACATCAGGGCTTCGGGAGGTCATTTTTCCTGAACTCAGATCTCCTCACAATTAATTTTATCTGTTTACAAACTGATAGTGTCAATGATGGTCATTAACCTTGTGACAATAAAAGAGAAAAGGCTGAGACTGACAGTTATACTGGCTTTTTACAATAAACATGTACAATAATGGGCTATGTTTAAAATGTCTATACTCAGCATGACAGTACTTTTTGATAAAGGCACAGAGCTGTGTTTGTTTTAAAGTTTTCACTAGAGCTATCGTAGTTTTGTATTTTGTAAATTAGCTTTTATTTTTATTTCATTTTGACTTCTTGGTTTTAATTCAGTTAGTTTTCAGAGTTACGTTTGTTTCAGTTTAGTTTTTATTGTTTAAAAATGTTCAGTCTTTTTAATTTTTATGTATGGAGGCCATATGTCAGAGGCAAGGTTTAGAAAAATTAATCCAGGTATTGCAATAAAAACATTAAACTTTTTGAAAGCACTTAACTCACAGTCTCATCCATAATCTCAATAAACACGACAATCAATCAAGCAAGTTGTAAGAAAGAATTTTTTTAAACCAAACTAACACTAAATTAATTTAAATAATACTAAAGTTAAAACTATAGTATAAAACTTACTATAAAAACCTTGGTTTTAACGCTTATTTACTGATGTGAGCTGTACACTTCCGCCCACGGTGAATATCTTTCGACGGACACTGTTGTCTTTTATTTTGAAGGGCACGCCCGGAAGCGTTCGCGGCTGTGAGTGTGACGGATGAGCTTCTCCGGTGCATCCACACCACCGGTGACTCGTCACTCCGCGCTGGAAGATGGCTGCGGTGCAGCGGACCCCGGTCAGGGAAGGGATCCGGATAGTTTCGCTGTGTGTGTGCTGGTACACGGTCAGCTCGGGGGGAAATATTGTCAACAAAATCATCCTCAATGGATTCCCGTACCCGGTCACGGTCTCTCTCTTTCATATCATCTCTATCGTCGTCTTCCTCCCCCCGCTGTTGCGGGCTTGGGGAGTCCCCAAAACAGAACTGCCGAGCAGGTACTACTGGTGGTACATCCTGCCTTTAGCTTTCGGAAAATACTTTGCCTCCGTGTCGGCTCACTTCAGCATATGGAAAGTGCCCGTGTCGTACGCGCATACCGGTGAGTACAGCGGCTTTGTTTTCATTTTAATGCGCCGCCACCTGGAGCCTGTCAGCCGGGGTAACTTGATGATGTGTCCGTCCTGTCAGCCAATGTTAGCATCGCGGCTAACGCAGGATGGCACGGCATTTAACCAGGCTGTGGGCCCCACGTAGAATCTGTGTACTGTAGGTCTTGTTTTAATGAGGCTAATTAATCTCGCTTCGTGTCCTCTTAATATAAACTAATTAGCTTTAGACTCTCCAAAGAATTACTAATAAGCTGCTGTTTGCTAGCTTCATAGCTAAGGGGGAGGGTCCATTAATGACCCGCCGTGCTTCCCTAACTTAGATGTTAAACCACCATATAACATGCGAGCCTCTGCAACTGCTTTTTTCTCCTTTAACAAGCTGAAGTGACATTTTTGTGAGGCTACCTGCTGATAAATGTAAAAAAAAAAAAAACCCGGCTAATACTAACACATAGTCCTTTAAACATTGTTATTGAGCTGAAAGAAGCGAAAGCCACTATATAATAGTGTAGGAATACTGTTGGTAAAGTAAAGGAAATATTAAGATCCGGCTGTGATTATGTTGCACCCAGGAAATGTACACCAGGCTGCTTAATCTATAAAAATGTATCATAATAATACTATCATGTCACTAATCTGAATGTTTTCTTAGTCCCTTCTAAGGGACAGGGCCATTTGGCACTTCCAGTACAAAGCATGAAAAACAGTTATTATCTGTTGCTAACTCAACCCTTGTTTCTGGTTGGACTTTTACAACCACATTATACAAGCACAATGGATTTACAGCATCTAACTGTATAAAACCACAATATACTCTACATGCAAAACTAAAAATGCACATGTAAGAAAAATATAGTGCAAGATGCATAAATTAAAGTATTAATACTAATCTGAATCACAAGGGTAATCTTTACAGACAGCTATCAAACAAATGTTGTACATTTAAAAACCCTTTTGTCTTCTTTCCCCACCCTATTTCTTTTTCTTTTTTTTCTTTTTTTTGCAAATAAAAGGTGAACCTTCTCATTTAATAGGACCGCAAATTACAGCCCCCAAAAGAACTATATAGTTGATCTGCATTTGTAAGAAAAAAAGCAGGAAGCATGTGCCTCTTATCCTGTGAAAGATGGAAATACACATATTAAACCCTCCTCAAGTTCAATTCAAATATTTCCCCTGGTATGTATCAACTGCACCTTTTTGAACTACTTTCACCTTTTGCATCTATTGTGTCATTTAAAGATTATTCCATCAATTTAGTTTCCACTGACTCCTTGAACTTGTTGTGGCAGATGAATTCCATCAGCTCTGGTTTCTCCACTCGCTCTCTTATTACCTGCAGATTCTGCAAGTTAGCAACACATGTTGAATTTCTCATTAATTGCACCTTCAAACTCCATCGCACTGTAATGTAGTTACAAGTTCCAACTTGAAACAACTCTGAAAGTCTCAATTTTATTTACTTAATTCTGTATTAAGTTTAGCAGATACTTAATAACAACTGATTTAGAGCAAGTCTGTAAATAAAATGTCACTGTAAAATATCTTTGTCGCCTCTGACCTGAGTTTTGGAGCCACAGCAGTTGCATCAGTGTTTTTACTTTAGGAATGAGCTTCTGACCTTGTGAACCTACACAATAATCATTCTATCTACTTTGTGTGACGCCAGTACTGAGCGCCTACTCTGACATTGGTTTTCAGGGAAAAAAACCCATAGTGATAAACTGAGTTGCGCTTTAGTCTGTGTTTAAATGAAGCAAGTGCAGTCGAGGGAGGTGTGCAAACCCCAGGTTTGTGACAGGTTGGATGTTGACAGAGGTGTGGGCCTAGCTCTGACGTACCGTGCCTACTTGCTGCTGTTAATAGTTCATGTTTGTTTAAGAAAAAAGAAACTAACGTCGTTCCTTGTCATGTCTTTTACAGTCAAAGCTACAATGCCGATATGGGTTGTGCTGCTGTCGAGAATTATCATGAGAGAGAAGCAGACCACAAAGGTGAGTAGGTTGAGCACGGCTAACGACAAGGCCTGCTCTGTCTGAGACTCAGCAGTGGTGATGTGGCACAGTGCTGCTGTGTCTGTCCTGGATCTCATATTACAGCCATCTGTAGGGGCTTTTGTCCACAAAGTTGATGAAACCTTCTGAGGGAGGGTGGAGGTGAGAGAGGAAGAGGGGCTTTTTTTCTTACACCAGGTGACCACACTCGCCTAATAAATTCCCATTTAACCCCTCTCTTCTTCCGTTATTTAGACAGTTGGGTTTGGGGCCATGCATACCACAACACCGTGCATTAGCAGTACATCAACTGGTAGTTAACTCATATCAATTAAATATATCTTGGAGTGCATTTCACTGCAAGGTTGCATTAAGGCTTTTTGTTAGCTTTTTATCTCAGTCTGTGCAACAACAAATTGTCGCACTTTAATATCACAATCAAAACGATTGAACTGTACTGAAACTGAAGATTATCTGCATTGGTAATTCTCGCCATTCATCGAGTGCACTTTGAAACGTGAGACAGTAGTGGTGAGTAGAGCAGGGCGATATCACCAAAAATATTTATTACGATATACATTTGAAAATTTGTGATGACGATATAACTGACACTAGACAAAATACTTTACAACTCCACAACTTTATTAGTGCAAAAAAAACCCCATCAATGTATTTTCACTTAAACAAGCAGCTGTTTTTTATGTGCAGTAAAGTTATATAAAAATTTAACAGTGCAAATGCAAATTCCTTGCTGACAGTTTAACCAAAAGGCATTTCCAGTGGAAATTGGCCGACATATCCTCAGCATAACCATGTATAATATCCACAAAACTTAAAAAGAGGTTATACACACACAATACAGTAATATTATGTTGAAGCACAGTACGTATCACTCCGCGAGGCTCCTGCCTACGATAGCCGCAATGCTCCCCTCCAAATTGTAACTGCTCTTTCCATTGTTTTTTTGCTCCACCTTCCCACAAAGTCTCACTGACAGACACACAGCAATGATTAAAATAGTTTGGTGCAGGAATTGCCCCTCGCTCATGACGAAGTATACACAGCTCTTAATAATAAACAAAGCATGATGGGAATGTAGGAGTACAGTAAGCTGTCCAACTGTTGATTATAATGTGGGAGTTATCCTGGTGTCCTTAATGTCATGACGTTTTTAAGTAATTAGTTGTTTGGTTGATGTGTCATATACACACATTAGTGCTGAGCTCATATTTCCTTAGAAAAAGAGAAAGCTGCATTGACTTTGATCAGACTTGTATTAAATTAGAGTTAAATGAAAAAACTCCCTTCCTGAAACACCGATCAAGTTTCTTATATTCCTTCATCAAATAAAATGTCTTTTATATTCAAAAGAAAAGATCTACTTTAAGACTATTTTAAATTCCATTATCAATAAAACTACTTGAGCTCTGTCCTTCAAGTGTTTTAAATGTGATTGCGGACTCTCTGGAGTGCAGCTTGCAGACATAGAATAATGGATGCTTGAAATCTTCGAATATTTGGATCTGTTATCTCTGGCAGCAGATTTGAAGGTCTGTCGAAACCATTATAATACACATTGTAATGGCACCCAGCACATATCCCGTCTTCTTATTGGTAAAAGATAAACTTCCTGCAGGGATGTGAAGGTACATAAATCAAACTAAAACCTTGTGCTCTGCCTGCCGTACATAAATATGAGTATTTCAGAAATTCATATTGGGAACATTAGAGATAATACCTTGAAACTTTTGGATGTAATAACAACAGAAGTTGGCTTTTGAAAAATATTAATTTCAATATCACATTGAACTTGGATATAAAACTGTGTGTGTTTCATTCTATATTCAGGCTTTAATAGAGAAACCAATCGCTTAATTGTAATAATTTTAATGAATGTTGTATGCCTTGTATATATGAGAATAAATATACTATATATCAGTCCCCTTCCTGGAAAACATGTTTCTACTGGTTTAGACTGAGCTGTCAGTTTAGTTTCAGTTCATTTCAATCCAATGTTATTTCTATAGCACCAAATGACAACAACAGTGACCTTTATACTGCAAGAACATACAATAATATATAGACACTCCCAACAACCAGGAAGCTCTTGGAGACAATGGAAAGGAGAAGGGGAAGATGGGTCTGTGGTATAGAGCCAGAATGCATCACTTTGCATTTTAATAGTTATTAAAACAGTTATTTAATAGTTATTAAAATGCAAAGTGATGTATAAATACACAGTGAGTAAATAAGACACACTAAGTGCATCATGAGAAGCTCCCAGCAGCAGGGGCCTATGGCAGGATTCAGGTTGACCTTGTTCAGGCCCAACTATATGTTTTATCAAAAAGGGAAGTTTTAAGTCTAAACTTAAACATAGATGCAGTGTTCAAAACCTAACTGGATCCATGGCAACAAAATGTTTACACAGAGTTTGCGTCATGTGAAAGTCTTCAGAGTCTGAGATTAGCACGTAATGTTTATCTTCCAGTTCAGTGTTGAGACGGGAGGCAACATGGCTCTGATGACCGCTTACTATGTGTGAGAACTGAAGTTGTATGAGACTTATTATAATACATCTCATAAAACACTTTATCAATATGTAATGTTTAAAACATGGACTTTCATTATGCTTATGGTTATATTTTAGGTAAAATTGGTAGACTACATGATATTGGATGGGTTTTATGTGGAGAGCACCTTGTCAGGACAATGCAATGCAGGCCACTGCAACACCACTGTGGAGTGTAATTTTAAGCTTTAGTCTAAATCTCCAAAATAATTTGGAGCACCTGAATTAGGACACAAATCTGGGCCTTTACCAAAATAGAAAACTCCTCCCTGAAGGTTCAACATTGTCCCCGCTGTATATTTTTGTGATGCCAGTAAGTAGACCTGCATCTTTTTGTTTTTTGTTTTGGATGCACCTGCACTTTTGATGTGTTATCAGAAGTTAACTTTTAACATGAGGGTGTGTGAACAAGTTTTTACTGGGAACTGTTTCCTTGTAGTGCATCCAGTTAAGAGACTGGTTAATTATTAAACAACACATTAATGGAGCTAGTTTAAGTATGTTGTGCTGCAGCAGTTCAGTTTGGGTCACAATGATACTAATGGAAATTTTGGGAGGTTTAGCTCAGTTGGAGGCTGTGTTATTGGTCTTGTGCGTTTTGCTCATGTGAGATAAAGAGTGGTTTGATAGCTTGAGAGCATTTATTTGCTGTTCAGTGTTTAGTTTATTTTTTGTTTAGTTTTTTTAGTTTCAGAGTGGTTTGTTGGGGGCTGAGTGGGTGAGTGTGTAGGTGCACAAGTGGGTTTCATAACAAGTGCTGAACGCTGTATTTCAGGATGCAAATGAATCTGTAGATGAGCTGTTCACCTCAAGTGTATGTCTAAGCAGAGTTACCAGGTCCAGCTGCACACTCTGGACTAATCGCTGTGCTGAAGATTAGAAATACACGAACACACATTAACATGAAATTATGTCTTCTTGTGCAGTGTAGCAACCATTTTTGGAAATTTTCCACTTCTCGTTATCTCTTTATTTTTCAGTGGGTGAAAATGTGGTCATGTTTGGGTTTTACTAATTCAGTGTTGGAAATGTTGCTTCACATTTTCTCTGAGGTGCGGACCAAATTAACACGAACCAATGTTTATCCAGTCATATGAAAGAGTTTTTACACGACTCCATGTACTACACGCTTACTGCTTTCATAGGAGTTAAGAGGATAAGTAGCAGCCAGGAGCTACTAATTAAATGCCCTTGAATAACTGATCATCAGCAAGTGTGACCGCCTCTATAAAAGCAGTCATTTTGGCAATTTGCTGGTCTGGTGTTTGTTAATACAGTGCAAAGGCTTCCCAGGAGTAGATGTCCCATCAGATTCACCCCAGTTCATGATAGTAATGTTAGCAAAACACTGAACAAGTATGATTTGTTTGGAAGGGTTCCCAGGAGAAAGAAATTTAAGGACCAACTTAAAAGGTTACATCTAAACAAACTGCAAGGCTTCTGGAACAGTGTTCTTTGGAAAGACGAGCCCAGAGTGGAGATGTTGGGCCATAATGCACAACACCACAATCGGCGAAAACCAAGCACAACATATCAGCAGCAACACCTCATACCTGCTGTCAAGCACGGTGGTGGAGCAGTGATGGTTTAGGCTTGTTTTACAGCAACAGGAGGGCGACAATAACCATGAACCAAGGCCACCTGTCTGACAGCAAAGACAGTCCTAAACTGAGTTAACAGGCAAAATGGCTGAAAAAGAAAACAATCAAGTTATTGCATCATGTAAGTCGAGACCTCAACCTGACTGAAGTGCTGTGGCAGGGCATAAAGAGAGCTGTGCATAAACAAAAAACCACACACCTCAATGAAGTGAAGCAATGTTGTGAAGAAGAAATTCATCCACAATAATGTGAGAGACTGATAGTCATACATAGGGCTGTGCGATATGACCAAAATCTCATATCCTGATATAAAACATCTATCGTCCGATAACAATATAAATCACAAAAAATTTAATATTTTCTGTAAATTCTGTGACTCTCGGGTAGGTGAAGTGTTTCCAGCTGGGCGTCGTGGAGTCAAGTGTTTTAACCAATGCATGAAACTACAAATTTTTAGACATAAGTTGTAACGACCGCCGTTTTCTTTGTGAGTATTTATTACACGGCGTGCTGCGGGGAAAAGCCTGTTCTAACGTTTGAGTCTAAGGTTTATTTTTTAGCTCCTGATGACTCTTTTTTTTGCTTCTCATCCGTCAATAATACTTTTTCATGTGATTCTGTTTATTTTGAAAAGTCTCAACAGGATCTTGAGCTTTATTGTGAAAGGTTTATGTGGAAAATAAACAAGCGGACACGCGATGCTGTTACCGTCGTTGTTGCTAACGACAACCCATAAAAACAGGCGCTTGTCCGTCCGTAGTGTGGTTATATTAAATATAAGCGAAAGAGAGAACTTTAATAAATTAATATAGCCTACAGTGACCATCAAAACGATGAAAAAAATATTGCCGTAAACAGTTTATTTTGCGACACCACGAAACAAACAATACCGTAAAATGAAACATAGACGTTTTTATATCGTCATCCAATATATATCGTTATATCGAACAGCCCTAGTCATACAGAAAACAGTTACTTTTAATTATTGCTCTTAAAGGTGGTTCTATAAGCGATTAAATCACGGAGTATAGAGGCCTGTGAAACATTTCTTTCACATCACTGTATCATTACGAGGCACCAAGCTGCTCACATTCTTACTCATTTGGCTACAATTACTACTTTCTTTTTTCAGTTCATCTACAAAATGTATTCACTAATAGCTCAATCAGTGAATCATCTGGATGTTGTGAGACAACAGAAACTCTCTGCTTGTTTATCTTAAAAGTCAATTTTATTATTTTCAAGACCAAGTTTCACCAGCTGTTCAGCCAAAACAGATATTTATAAACACATGTCATCTGTAGACTTTGAGTTTGTTCCTGATAAGCTACAGGCGTTACTGCCAGCAGTACATCAGCACAGTTTCTCATGGGAAATACTTCTCTCTCTCTATGTTACTGTTACTGTCTGTTAGACCATTATATCGATTGGATGCATATTTATGAATGAATTAAAGCAGTTCATTGATTACAAACATGGTTGCTAATTTATTTTTATAAACCTGCCATCTTTGCTAGAGAGGGCAAAATATTTCCTGCACTGGAAATGAAATTTCCTAAATGTGTTGCTTTAGATGTAAGTGATGAAACAGTTTGTGCTTTGTGTGGTCTTAGGTATACGTATCGCTCATTCCCATCATTGGTGGGGTGCTGCTGGCCACAGTGACCGAGCTGTCCTTTAATATGACGGGACTAATCAGCGCTCTGGCTGCCACGCTCTGCTTCTCACTGCAGAACATCTTCTCCAAAAAGGTAATCCACCCTCATGTTGCTGTGTGACACGTGTGCTGATCTGCTGATTTTTTTTTCTTCTCTTCTCTGAAAAATGTCCAAATGAACCAGCAGACATTGTTAGAGACTTCCTGTTTTTTCATTCAAATCATAGCCACAGTTTAACTGCCACTTTTTGAGTCTCAAAGGGTGGAAAAAAGTTGATGTAGGATCTCCTTCTCTTAGCTGTGGTTTCCTACTTATGACACATTAACAAAGAGGAAATGAAAATGCACTCAAGGGATTTAATAACGCAGTATTACTTTTTTTTTTTTGACTGTCTGAGTCTGCCGAGGAGGATTGTCCTGTTGCATTCAAACAACTTCACGGGTTTTTCCTCCAGCATCCCAGTGGCACGATCCCACTCAGGTTGCCCCAGTCTTGGAAATCTCACACGTCATTTTTTCCAAACCTGTGGTGCCTTTTTTTTCTTTTTTTTAATAGGCTTGGGTGCGTTAGCCAGATAAAGGTTTTGTGACGACACAGGATTGCTCACAATAATCAGTCGGGTGTGACCAAGTCTCACATGTTATCAAAAAGGCAGCTATAGTTTTCTTAACAGATGAAAGGTCTTCCCAGATTAGGCCAAAAATAGAGTGGTGCGTTATTAAATCTCTCGAGTGTATAATAAAGAAATGGAGATTTCTGAAAGTGTGCTGAAATGCTTACAGAGTTCTTTATATCAGTTTAAAGACGCATTAACAGAGTTGCAGCCTAAGGTTTTATTGTGTTCTTACAGGTGTTGCGTGACACGCGGGTCCACCACCTGAGGCTGCTGAACATTTTGGGCTTTAACGCTGTGATCTTCATGCTGCCCACCTGGGTTCTGGTGGACCTCTCTGTGTTTCTGGTGAATGGAGACTTGGTGAGTAGCAGTAAGAGTCTGGCGTGAACTAGAGCCGCCTCGGTGACCGTGAGCTTTATCTGACCTAACTCCTTTCGTCTCAGACGGATGTTTCGGGGTCCATGAGTACCATTATCCTGCTGCTCATCAGCGGGTTCTGCAATTTCGCTCAGAACGTCATCGCCTTCAGTATACTCAACATCGTCAGCCCGCTCAGCTACGCCGTCGCCAACGCCACCAAGAGGATCATGGTCATCAGCATCTCGCTGCTAATGCTGCGAAATCCCGTCAGTTTGACAAACGTCCTGGGAATGATGACGGCTATCGTCGGAGTCTTCCTTTACAACAAGGTCAGTCAGCCCGAGCGAAAGTTCATTATAAAGATGTGCATTTAATCCATTAAGGCACAATGCAACATGCACTTGCTTCTGTTGTTTAAATTGGATGTGATGCAAGCCTGTTTTATGTCATTGTTGTCAAAACACACACGCAATAAATAATTTCACCTTTCTTACGTCGTGGTGTAAGAGAAACATACAAACGTTGCACTTAGAGTTCAGGGTCTGGAACTTACTGTCTCTAAGGGATCTGCTTCTCTACCAGCCCCCAAGTCCTCTTACACTCCTGTCCTTGTTTATTTTCAGTCCACAGACTGCTTTGCTTTCACCCTTAAAGGACTTCTTCCAGTAGTTTTACCATCAATCCAACTTGAGCTGCTTTCCTCTTTTGCACTCATTTATCTTCTTTGACCATTTTGACTAGGGCTGCACAATTTTGCATAAAATGAGAATCACGATTTTTTTTGCTTAGAATTGAGATCGCGATTTTCTAACGATTAATCGTGCAGCCCTAATTTTGACCTACGTGGTCAGTTCAGGTGATCCAACATTTAAAACCTGGTTGATTTCAAATCTTTGTCCTTGTCCTTTGCCAACAGGCCAAGTATGACGCTAACAAGGAGAAGAAGCTGCTGCCGGACTCCAAACAGGACCTGATGTCCTTTGACAACCCGGCGCTGGAGAAGATCCAGGCCAACGGGTCAGTGCCTTTCCCCCACAGCCCGGAGCAGCAGCAGCAGCAGCACAGCTGGAACCACGTCCTGACTGACCACTTCCAGTACAGCCAGCAGACCTACACGACAAACTACAGCAGCAACCACCAATATGTGGTGTAAAGGAGGACTCGTCCTCACTCTGGTAGCTGTCATAGACATTACTGCGTGTAGCCCGGCGGCTCAAAGACAGGTCTCAATCACCTGGAGACTGAGGGCTGTTTGTGTTGAAGAATGAGGTGTCTGACATCACAGGCCAGTCATGTGACCTCTCCCACCCCTTCTCTCTCCCTGTCTAAACTTCATTTTGAGTCAGCTTTGGTGTAGGTCTTTTTTTATTTCTTTGGTACTGACTGAACGCGACGGTTAGAATCTGTTTGTATCGGCCTGGAAGGTAGCTGGAAAAGGATCTCCACACGACTGTTTGCAGCCATAACATTCTAGTTTGTTTACTTTGAGAGGAAAGGACGTCATCTGTAACCATCACTGTGAATGTTGACGTGCACCGAATTACGAGTCTGTCGTGTCTTTCAGTTCAGTCAAGATCCTTAAAATTTTTAGGTTTTGGCATTTCATGTCTTTTTTTTCTCTCTCTTTAAAATTTACTTGAGACAATGTGGGGAGATACAAACTGTTGAGTTAGTCATCAGTGAATAAATTTTAGCCTTAACGCTGATGGGAGTTCTTGGGAATATAGTGGGTTTTGTAGGTTTGATCTGATATTGCGATTGGCAATGTTTTCAACACCAAGTGTTAGTCGTTCATTCTTTCTGTCCAGATTGAAACATATCAACAATCAAGATGGGTTGTAATGATATTCTATATAGTTAAAAACCTCACAGAGCCTCTAGCATAGCCACAGACTGAATACATTCAATCGATATCCACACTCCCACTAATAAAAGTGCCCAATTAGGAAAAATGCTCCAAATTAAAAGTGTATGAGTCCATTGATGTTCATAAATGTTTAATAAAGCCAAACACTTATGAAAACCACATCGCTGAACGAAGAGCGAGACCATTTCTGTTATCTAGAAAGGTCAGTGACCTCGTACAGATCTGTGCTTCTCCCTGGTGAAACAGAAAATAGCTTAATGTATTATTTGTTGGTATAAATGTGGCTCAGGAGGTTGAGCGGGTCGTCTACTAATCAGAAGGCTGGCGGTTCAATTCCCAGCTGCTCGTCAAAGTATCCTGAACACACCGACACTCCAGTTTGTGTGTGCGTGGATGTCAGCTTAGAAAAAGCTCTTGTACGATTATGTCTTTGAATGAATGAATAAGGCCTAAAATTAGATTTGCATAACAAAAGATGCGCAGCTTCATGCATGAAGGATGTATTTGTTTCTTCTGTATCCCACCACATAAAATATAATGGAGGTGTTGAGACTGTCATGGACTTTTTGGTTTATTTGTATTTATCAGTCTGCGAAGCTTCAAGCTTTGGTTCAAGCTCAGCCTGAACCAAAAGCTGCTCTGTCATGTTTCAGTTTTTAAAAACAGAACGCCGTGTCGAGTTTGCACGTCTTCAAACCACTTGATGTGTTTTCTTTTAATTTGTCAACACTGGCGTCATAGAGTCACTGGACAGAGGTTTGGATTGTGCAATGAAAGATTCACCTGTAATTTCAGGTGGGCTTTCTATCGTCACTACTGATTGCATTACTGAGCATCTCTGTAAAGTGCAGGAAGACAGTTTTTCTTTTTTTGTGACTCTGTTGCTTTGGAATCGAGCGTCGGTTGTGAGCTTGTTTTCTTTTATGGTTTTTGGGGAGGGTTATTAATTAAATGCTGTCACAGTATTCAGTGATTGGTGGGTTTTTCCCCACCACAAACCAGTGTCTCCAAAACGTGTCTGTTTACTCCTTTCTAGATTCATGGAGAAAACTAGCTATTAACTGCCACCATGTTATTTTATTTTTTATTAAATTACATACTGAAATTTAAGTCCTCTAAAATAATTCTTACACTGAGTAATCAGAAACATTGCAATACAACCAAACTCGCTGTCCATTGTTTTGAAATATAGTTTGTGTGTTGTTGTCTGTTGTTCACTTTGAGGCTGTCTGTTGTTTGTGTTGGCCTTCGTGACATTTTCCCCACCGTAAACGGTAACCATAAATAAAAACAAACAAAGTGATGAATTCAAACTTCTATGACTTCAGCATCCATTTCAAATGTTAGATTTAATCATCTCAGCCTTTATCTACCGAGCAGCATAGTTTCAGTTTTGCATCCG